AAATCCAGCATGTCCAATGCCTTGTTGCTGTCCTTGACTTCTCTAAGTGTGTGTTCTCGTTCGTGTGTGTGTGTGTGTGCGTGTGCGTGTGCGCACGTGTTTAAACAAAGTTTCACAGTAACAACAACTAGCCTGTCACTCTAGCTCAAGATGCCTTTGAACTCTTGGCGACCCTCCTGCTTTAGCCTGCCAACTGCTTGGGTTTACAGGTATGAGCCACAATGCCTAGCTTATGCATACATTTCTTTAGACTTATTCTGTTTTTTGTTTGTTTGTTTGTTCTGTTATTATTTTTGTTTGTCAGGTTATGCTAGTGAACATTTAGCTACAGGAATGTTTCCAGAAGAAATTTAAGATAAAGTCATCTAAAAATCTTAAATGCTTGATACTATTTTTTCTAACTTTTATTTAAGTGTCTGTCCGGATATAAAATCATAGGCATGAAATCCTCTTCCATGAACAGCTTAAAGACTACTTAATTGCTGTATTCAGTTTTATCATCAAGTTTTGTCGTGTTCCCGATGTTCTTCATCTTCGTTTATCCAGTTTCTATCAATGTTTTGAGAATTCTCTTTGTCATTTATGTTCTTAAATTCCACTACAGAGATCTGGGTTTCTTTTCTACCCAAGTTATTTAACACTAGGAATTCATTCAATCTGATATTTCATTCTAAGAAATGCTTAGTCATTATGACTTCAAACATATTTTTATTCATTATTTGTTTTGTCTTTCTGGCTCCAAAGCCTGTGCTCCTAGCCCCTGCACCGTCTGGAAAGAGCGATCCAATCCCTCTTGCCTTTATCTGTGTAGGTTTTGCTGTCCTCCAACACGCTATGAAAGGCAGAAACAGATCCTACTTCATTTCTGTGCACAGTGCAGCCCTGTCTGCTGTGTGAGTGAATGCATCAATGAAGAAACCAAGAGACTAGAGGGGTGGAGGGCTAGAGCGAGAGGCGCTGGGAGTACACAGCAGGAGCCCAGTCACGACTGGAGTGTGCCCACACCCAGGGCATGACCTCTGGCAAGGTGGCAGTCCCTTCAGCAGGTCCCTCCCTGTGGCAGGGAGAATCTGGGCTAACCAGCTCAGCCCAGCCCAGCCCTGAGCTAATGACCTCCACCAGCTCCAGACTTGGCCCTGCATTCCACCATTCCATCCTGACACTCTGCCTTGACTTCTTGGCTTCTTCTTGGACCCTGTTTTCTCTGCTATGATTAAAGAGAAAATTTGTACTGCCTTGTGTAGCTTCCAGGGGTAGGAGACCTTCCTGTGGTCTGTACACATGTATGTGCATGCACACGCACACACGCACACACGCACACACACACACACACACACACACACACAATGCTGCACACAGCATGGTGCCACTCTCACCGGAGCACGAATTGTCACAGACACACAGCAACCTCTACCCTGGAGTCTGAGGGCCCAGAAGAAATCTACACATACTGTGGAGCCCTTGCTTTCGTTCTGCTTTACTAGAGGGGAGAAGATCTCCCACAGGTCTGCAGCTGTTGGGATTGCTGGCAACTGTCTAGGGACTTTCGGAAGGTGGAGAAGTAACTCCAAGGCAGTGATCCCACCCACGCCTTGGCCCTCCCTCGCTGTACTCTTGTCCATGAGTTCCCAATCAGCCTCTCCTTTACAGTCAGCAGATCGCCACTGGCCATCCAGTGTACGCATGCCCGGCACCTTGAGTCCTCCCTTCCCCCTTGACCAGCAGAACTTGATAGGACATCTGCGTAACCTGGTCTTTAGGCCTACGTGGCGGAATTCAAACTAAGGTTGTCCTTGATGACGTGGTCTTACTCGTGTGTGTGTGTTTGTGTGTGCACACGCGCGTGTGCATTTGTGCCTGCCTGTCTGTCTGGGTGTCTGTGCATGTATATTAAATAGGGACATCCAAAGTCTTAACTCAAACAGGGCAACAGTTGTGGGGACTGTCAGCTCCCCTGGCTGCCTGGTAGGGCCCACACGTAGATATTGCAAACTCCTCTGGTAGCCTTCTTAGGAGTATCAAAGGCCCATTCTTTTCCCCGATAAGTCTGTTTCTCCAGGACCCCAGTCACCAGCCCTTGAGAAACAAGCCCTCCCACTCAGCTTCACTGAAGAGTTTCCCCCAGCACCTTCTGAACTCTTGTTGATCCGTACTCTTCCATCCCTAAGCCTGGGGATCTCTCAAGATTCCAACCTTCTTGGTTTGCTTTCAGAAAGACTCTCCTTCCTCAGATATTTATCCTAAGGGCTATCAGCATGAGGTAGGAAATTGGATTAGTATATCTTGAGTGGCATTCTTTGAATCTGAAATTCAAAGCCATGGTCAAAACTCAATCAGAACCTCTGGGGTCAGCAATGATTACATCAGCTGTATGGACGGAGGCATTCTGTGCAATGAGAAGATGTAGTGCCAACACCCTGTACTTGCTGCTGAGATTGCTCAGTGATTCTGACTTTACTTGATTTAAACATTCAAATTAATCCTATCTGGAGCATGGTTTAGATGCCCTGTCTCGGTGATGACAATGACAGGTAACACATCAATGGCACCTGTACTGTGCCAGTCACTGTCGCAAGGGCTTGGCTCACCTTAACTCTTATTTCCCACAGTTACGAGGACAAGATAATAAATATTTTCAACATGACATTGCAGAGGGGAAACAGACACAAAGAGGCTCTATATTTTGCCCGAGATCTGATTTGGTAGACGATAGAGCTAGAGTCCAGACCTTCCAGACTACACTCTGACTGTGTGAGGCAGTATACATACTGTATTCTAAGGCTTGAAAGCACAGCTGCACACCCCTTCTGTGTAATCCCACTTTCACACCTCCTCACTGAAGGCTGCCAGAGCGCTTGTCCTTCCTCCACCCTGTCAGTACCGTGTGCGTCTAGGAGAGTTGGATACAGGTAGAAACTCTCAAAAGACAGGGATGGTACCACAAAGAAACACAACAAAGAAACAAGAAGAAATTGGGCACAGTGCTTGAGCCAAAGAAGAGTTGAAGAGAGGGGAAAAGGAGGAAGTTAAGAGTCTTACATAAGCCTGGGAAACCACAGTGTGCCACGCCTTATACAAATAATTAAAAAGGAGATTTGAAAATAAAGAAATGTCATTTCTTCCCAAATTAATCTATAGAATGTCAGTTAGTGTTAATAGATTTTTGGGGGGGGGCGCTTTGTTTTGTTTGGAACTAGATAATACCATTATGAAATTCCCTTTGAAAAGCAAAGGGCCAAGAATAACCAAGAAGCAATTTTGAAAAGACACAAGCTTGAAGAACTGGCCATACCAGATGTCAACATTTAGTCTCAAAATATTTAGCAAGAAGACAATGCGGTTGGGCACAGGATAGACTAATGGAGGAGGGCAGAAAACCCAGCCATGGCTCATCCATGCTCCGAAACAATCCAGGGCAGAGGTGAAGCTGTTAACCCAGGTGGGAAGGGTGTTCTGCTGACTAATGAGTGCTAAACAGAGCTCCCATCAGGTAGAAAACATCAAAGTGGATTTCTATGTTAGGTCAATTTCAGGAAGATTAAAGAACAAAAAATAAGAAGAAGAAAGAAAAAAGGTAAAAAACACAAACTTTAGAAGACAACATGAAAATTTAAAAAGCCATGATCTTAAGATAAAGAAAAATTTCACTAAATAAGAAATTAGAAGGAAAAAGTTCATAAATTTAGTTGCATTGACATCTATCCAACAAAGTCCACTATAACACATAGAAAAACAAACCAGATTATCTGAGAGAAGAAATTTGTAATTAATATAGTATGTAAATAAAATTCACAAATTAATAGGTTGACATATGGAAGAGGCATGGGCAAAGAATATAGAGGACTCTTAGAAGAACTCCAGAAAGCCGATGACTATAAAAAGAAGCATACTCTCACTATTAGAGAAATACAATGCAGAACAACAGAGCGTTACCATTCCACCCACCAGATTGGCAAAAATGTGCAGCTCGTGCCAAGTATTAGGAAAGAGCAGTTAAACCTCCGAGTCTCATGCATGGCTGGTGGTGCTGCCAGCTGATCCAAGCCCTCTGGAGAGCAGTCTGGCAACTAGGCGTGAAGATGAAAGTGGTCATGTCTAGAAGTTCCACTGGTGGCAGGCAGTCAGGCAGACATGTATGAAGATGTTTACGGCCACGCTGGAAACATCTGAACTATCCGTCAACAAGAGAACAGATAAGCAGATTGCATTGTAGTTATACAATGAAGACAGCAGGATGTGTCATCAGAGATCAAGATCTTACAATTATAGTGCCATGGCAGAAACACATTGCAGAAGACTCTAATTCTCTCTCTCTCTCTATGCTTATGTTCTATGTAATATCAAGGGTTATAATACTTTATTGGTAAAGTTTCCAAGCCCCACCTAAATAAAACTTTATGGTGTTTGTGAATACACACTGGTGCAATAAAAAGTTTTCTTTAAAAAACAAGGGAGCGGATGATTAAGATGGAAATCAAAACAAGTTCGGGTAATGAAGGAAGAAACTAGGATAAAGTGTTTGGAGAGGACTTTATTATACCTCTCATATTTACTTCCTTTCTTCTGTGTTTTTTTAGAATACATTTATTTATTTATCTATCTCTCCTTTCTTTTGTGTTGTTTAGATACATTTATTTATTTATCTATCTATCCTTTCTTTTGTGTTTTTTGGAATATATTTATCTACCTATCTATCTATCCATCTATCTATATATCTATCTATTTGTTTTGGAGGTTGTGTCTCGCTGTGTATCCTGTGTTGGCCTGGTACTTGCCCTGCAATTCAAGCTGGCCTCGAACTTGCAGCAAGCAGCCTTTCTGTGTCTGACTCCTTAGTACCAGGATGACAGATGTGCACTACACTGCAAGGCTTCCGCTATTTGCTTTCTTTGAAATAAAAAGACACAAAGTAGAAAGGGTAATGTGTTAATATTTGCTAATGCTCATGCGGCCGTCATAAGTGCTGCCCACTAAGTAATTTTTGGCTGTCTGCTTTCCAGGCAGGTGATTGTATTTCCTATCCACTCTGAAGTTAGAAATGACCTGGAGACTTCCTCTACCCAATAAAAAAAGGAGTGTGGCTTACGTTTATGACCTCATAAGCCAGTGAGCAAAAAGCTTTGGCCAACATGGCCGCCCAGACACAAAGCTTTATCCTCCCTGGCCTCAGAGGAAGCATGACACATTCGGGTCACTGGAGGAGAACACAAGGAAATGTGAGAAAGGAACTTCTGTGGGCTTTGGCCAGAGACTGGGGGATGGCAGTGTTTCTTGTTACTGCAACATGGCTGAGCACATCTTGTAGTCACGGCAAGCAGCCTACTTCGAAAGTTTTGCTCTACTCCAGCCTGTGTAGCTCAGGCTGGCCTCAAGCCTGCAGCAAACATCCTGCTTCAGCCTCCCGAGGGCTGGGGTCATGGGTGAGTGTTACCCTGTCAGAGCTTCTAATAGTTACTTTGAAATAAAAGGACTTGAAACAAGTAGGTTAGTGTGTTAATAATTTCAGCAAGAGTTTCGCTGACTGCAACTGTGATGGACTCTGTGTGGCTTTTGAAAATGTCTTTCTACCCCGTTTTCTGTCCTTTGGTGTATCTGACTAACACCTGACCCCCATCCCCACTGACTGCCAAAGTATTTGCCCGGTTGTAGTTCACTTGTGAGAGAAATATCAAGGAAATGGTCCCTCACCTCCAAGACCAAGGTTCCTTTTCCAGGTGGCACTTGGGTCCACCAGAGAATAAAAGCCCTCACTAGGGGTGATGGACAGGCAAGGGGGAGAAGAAGGAAAGGAAACTAGCACCCTTGACTAGCTCTTTTCCTTAGGTGCTGTGCAGAGAAACCCAAGCGTTGCCTGGAAGTGGCTGTGACATGTGATGCCTTCGAGAAGTTCTGTGGAAAGAATGACATCATCACCAACCCCTGTCCCCCACCTTTTTTTCCAGTGGGAGTGAGAAATAAATAGACGGACACATTTTCCAGTCAGGGAGCGATTCCGCGGAGCAAGTTTACCTTGGCAGAGGAGCCCAGGTGGAGTTGGGAGAAACCTTATCTCTGCTTGCCCAGTAAACAGGAGCCGCAGTCTCCCCAGAGCCGTGGCTATAGCAGGTGATAGGAGAGGCGGGTGAAACGGGGCAGGTGAGCAGAGGGAGCCTTGGTCTGGCCAGAGCCACTGCAGAACCAGCCTGACCCGGGATCACCTGTGTTAGGTCAATATTGTCTTAATTTGATGGGCAGACTCATTTTGACTGACTGCTCGTTGCCAAGAGACATGCCATTAAACCCACGAGGCTCAAAGGGGGAGGTTTCTGACCTTTTACATTGACAAGTCTCAAATTGTGATGCGCGCGCGTGGCCATGGAATCCCATTAAATCCCATTAAAATGGGGGGAGGGTCTGATTCAGCAGATGGAGAGGGCCAGAAATCGACAGCAGGGTAAGGTGCAGAAGGAGCTGGCCTCAGTGTTGAGACTTTGGAGCACAGGTGCCGAGCCAGGTGTTTCCTATCTTTCCTTTTAACTCTTCAGCCTCTGCAAGGTGGGTGTTCTTATCCCCACCCCACCTGGCAGGCCAAAGGACTGAAGCTGAGAAAGGTTAATTCATGTTTCCTGCCTGTCATTTCCAAAGGATTTCATTGCTACCTCTGCTCCCTTTCCTGTGATCTGAAATAACCCAGAGACAAAGGGTAATAGACACCCTGTGGCAGACAGGCGTTGTCTGTTTGTGGTGATTGGCCCTCTCAACACCTGGGAATGAGTCACCCCTTTCTATGGAGAATCCTGAGTCAAGCACAGGACCTTCGAGATCCCGGTATCAGCATTGGGCCTAGGAAGTTCTGGCTTCAAAAGAGGCAGAATGGTGGCTACGTCTGGTTTTCAAATCTCTCCAGTTACTGATGTGTTCTGTCTAAGGACACGGAGTTGGAGAAAATTCTTAATCCCGGGAGGAGTTGTGTTGATGTGTCAGCTTGGAAAGAATGCCTCAGCCAGGCCATGGAGGATTGCAGGAGAAAAGCAAGACCAGAAATGCCCAGCTTGTGAAAACATCAATGGGAAAGTAATGGTGGCCAGTCAGAGCATTCTGGGGAGATACGCGATGTGCTAAGTAAACCCAGTTGTGCCTGGGGAGACGCTTCATCATGTCTGGACCATAAGGAGTGAGACAGCCAAGCTTCCCGATCCTGGCCACGTACCACCTCTGAGATAACTGGGCACTGTGAGACCCTCTCCCAGACTCTTTGAAAACCTGAATTTTGTGGCGCGCTCAACATGTATGACTGCTCTGAGACCTATCTACATTCTCAGCCTCACTCACAGTGGTCGCCAAGGGCTGCCATGATTGGCACTGCAGGGAGTGTGGAAGGTCACACGCGGGGACCCCTAAAAGTCTACTGCGCCATTCCTGCAAAGTAATTCCCCAGTAGAAAGTGAGAAGATAAATAGAAGGTTTCCCCGAAAGGCATTACTTGGTTCTGTTCCTTACGTATTACATCATTCTAGAAAGTATCCATGCTTACAACGGCCACAGAGAGTAGAGTAGAGTAGAGGCTTTTAAAAAGTGATAAGAGTTTTGGAGAGAGGGAAGAATAGAAGGCAGGAGCAGATGGAGTCTAGAGTAGTTTGCTGTGTGCATTGAATTCCCAGCTGCTTACGCTGGGGTGTTTTCAACAGAGATCAGAATTCCTGACTTATATGGCAGTGTATGAGCCTCCTAATCTATGAATCACAAATTCAAAGCAGAGCTGCCTCAGGAAAGCCCAAGCTCCCTATGGAGCCTCAGAATAAGAACATTGATTCCCAATATCTCAGAGAGGCCTCACCCGCAGCCCTGTAGTAAACCCCAGAGTTTCCTAGGAAGCTTCCATAGTACCTTTCATGCAGATGTATGATCAAGCCAAAGCTCACTCCTGCAAGAGCAATTATGGAAGGCTCCAAAATGGCCCCTGCTGGGCCAGTTTAACTCTGAGGAACCTGTTTGGGGACTCCCTGGAAACTTGGATTCAGTCCTCTGTTGGTCTTGTGCTCACCTCACTGAAGCTGCTGGCTTCCTGCAGAGCTGTGTAAGCTGACAATGGGGCCCAGCATCTGCCATCCACAAGCAGGAGCTGTGGGCATTCCTTTGTGACTCTCAGAGTGCCAGACTGTCTCCACCAAGGAGTTGAGAAGAGGTTGAGGGGAGACAGGATCTCAGGCTAGCAGCTCTAGGCTCACAGTGCCCTGCCTGTTGAGCTTGGGAAAGGCAGATTTTTCTGGGCTTTCATTCTGTCCCCTGCAAGGTGGAGGTAGGGGTCAGATAGGCAGAAGGAAATCATGTGTTCCCTAAGGAGCCAATTGGTTACAGTGCTGTGCAGTGCACAGTTAGCTGTAGAGAAGCAATGAAGCAGGGCTGCAAGCCTTGGGGTCTGTGAAAGGCATCAAATGAGCCACCCAGATCCCCTTCTCTGTAAGGGTCTGCTGCCCAGCTGTTAGTATCTTCTAGGTGTGCCTCCCCGATGCTCACACTCCTTCAAGACTGTCCATAGTATGAATTGAGCAAGGCAAGGCCATAAAGGTCCAGGCATTTTGGCAGAGGAAGATGTATTTGATGGATGCTATTAGCTCCACAGTTCCTCACAGCGTTTACCAAGATTTGTCGGGCCTTCAGCCCAACTGTATGTCCCGCTGTCTTCTATTGGGTATCTCCTCCCTTCTACAGGTGTGGGTCCCAAGCCATGTCTCCATCTGTTTCTGCGGAACCCCATTTGTATAACAGTATGAATACCCATGGCACACACTTACAGGCTCATGACCTTTATGCAGAAGCCATGGTGACACAAACCCACAGCTTGAAAAACAGTATTGATAGTTAGACAACAGCGTGGCTGCTACTCCATGAAAGGTGGGCATGGAAGCTCCATCGACGTGGGATGTCCCTCTGTATTCTGTGAATATATTTTATTACCACCAGTGACTGAAGAAGCTGCTTTGGTCTATGGCAGGGCAGAATAAAGCCAGACAGGAAATCTGAACAGAGAAACAGAGAGAAAGAAGGCAGAGTCAGGGAGATGCCATGCAGCTGCTGAAAGAGGACCCCGAAACCTTACCGGTAGGCCACATCATGATGGTGATACCCAGATTAATAGAAATCTGTTAAGTCGTAAGAGTTAGCTAGGACTACACGTAAGCGATTGGCCAAACAGTGCTGTAATTAATATAGTTTCTGCGGGATTATCCGGGTCTGAGTGGCTGGGAAACAAACGAGCAGTTTCTATTTACACTCGGTCTCTTGGAAAGAGACATGACCTTCTCCTCCTTAACCAGCCCCTCTTAACTCTGCTTCTCCAGCTACGAAGCTCAAAATCTCTAACCCTGTTGCATCTCCCTCCCTCCCAATCCCCCATGCCCACAGAATGGAAGACCTGAAAGTCTGTCTGGGTATCAACTTCGGCCATCACCCCCACTTCCCATCAAAATTCACTCCTTTGCAGCCTTTGTAGCGACCCGTTGGCCTGCCTTTTTCCCCCGATCGGGCTCTCGTGCCTGGTGGCTAGTCCTCTGCTTTGATGCCTCTGTTACCTGCTGTATGAATCATTGCCCTCCAGGAAGAAGAGAGAGGCCTGTTGGAACCAAGCCTGCCTCTCACGCCTGTTTCCCTGAAGTCATTGGCAGGTGTCTGTTGCTACTTGCAAGAAATGCCCAAACACAAAAAACAAAAGAAGGTAAAATAATGGGAACTGGACAAGCTTCTGTTTTGCCTGGGGTCAGTGCTCTTTCCCCGGCATTGACCCAGAACTCAGAGCACTCATTCAAGTGCTGAGAGGCCCTTGGCCTGGGGCGTGAGTGCTTGTGCACACATGCAGAGGTCCCAAGAACAAAAGAGCTGAGCAACTTGCTGGCCCTGGGTACCAGGACACTTCTCAACGCTCCTGACAAACTGACAGCTGGGAGATGTTGACGGAAATGTCTGCAGCCCTGGGCGTAGCAGGGTGGGTTGTAAGGGTAGAGACTGTTAACCTGCCACGAAGGATGGCTGGGCCATCCGTATGCAGCAACCAGAGGTCTCAGCTCTCAGTCCTGTGTGTGCTTGTGGACACGGTACTGACAATTGTGAGGCCCTGTATAAATACACCCCAAAAGGTACTTCAAAAAAGGAGAGATGGGGCAGGGACCACGATTGTTGGCATCATTCTCTTTTAGCGCAGGCTAAGCTGGGAAGCCCAGAAGACATTTCACTTGTTTTTCTACTAATAAGCAACAGTGGAATCGTTACTAACGCTCTGACCTACTTTCCTTCCTTCCTTCCTTCCTTCCTTCCTTCCTTCCTTCCTTCCTTCCTT